AATGACGCTCCCGGGGACCAGAAAACAAGCTCTTGTCGACGTGTCGATCGAAACCGAAACCATGCCATTCTCCTCCCTGGCCAACTAGTTCCCAGAGTGCAACGCGCGCCGTGTTGCATGCAGGGCTTTATGGAAGTAGTCTATTGTGTGTTGTCGTTGTTCTTTTCGTTTTCTTTAATCGCTCGTTGGGGCTCCTCGCTAAAGGGGGGGGGGGGGGGGGGGGGGTCATATCTGTAGGGCGCAACGCACCCACAGATCCATTCTTCCCATGAAAATAAAAGAGATGGCTCGAGGCGCAGCACGTGCACGCGCCTCGGAGAGCGCGTGCAAGAGAATGCTCTGAAGCCGCCATCACAGGCAGACACGTCGTTCGCTTGTCTCGTTCTATGTCCTCACCTTAAATAACGTGGCAGGGCCTCGCGGCCCCCCACATGACCTTGGGATGACCTTGGGGGTCAAGTGACCTTGGGATGACCTTGGTTACGCCGACGGCGACGCCGCTCAAGCCGGGAACGGGCCCCTAAGAGCTGCGCTCTAAAAAGAGAAGGAGTAGAAAGGTAGCAGCCTTCAAGTCCAGAACGGGGGTGCACTCACAAAGAATAATCTTCAGGGGCATCCGAACGATAAACGCAACGGGAGGATTTGACGCCTGTATCTAAGGTTGATAGTGCAGTGGATGCTATGTGTGGCCTTGGGCTTGAGGCAGGTGCCGTGTTTTGCCTTATCACCAGCTTCAAAAGTCTTTGTCACGTGACCCTAACCGGAGACACGATTGGCCTAAAAGACGTATAGCGTAAACCCTGCCGTGAATACCGAGTGAACAGGACAGCTCCATGAAGGGCAGCTTTTGAGCTTCCAAAAAAGCTGTCCAGCCCAAAAGTGACCCAAAACGCGGCACGTTTGAAGATACAAGGTTTTACGCCGTATAACCCACATTATAATTTAAAATGAACAGCTAAGCGCGATTACTTTTTGCTCACGATGTTTACAAATAAATAAATATATATATAAGTATATATATATAATTAAAATATTTCTTGAATTTTCTAGCTCAGAACGGAAATCAGAAATTTCAATGTGTAAATGTGACTAGTAAAGTAAACCTCTTGATGCGTCAGGTAACAGATTTTTGCGGGACAGTTTCACTGATTATCTTTATTTTGAGACACAGCTAGCACAATAGAACAGCTGTAACTGCTTTGGAAACAAAGTAGGCATGCAAAAGACCTTTTAGTCACGCCTAAAGATCTTGGATCCCAGGAGCACCGTTAAAGTCTTCGCCTGTCCTCGGAGGAAGATGTTGTCCTCCCGGAGCTCCAGGCACCTTGTCTTCCAATATTGGGCGTTTTGCTTGCATCTTCAACCTCCTTGCTCGGAACAGGCGTGCCGCCAGAGTCCGACGTGCTGCAGGAAGGGCACAATTTTTTTTTACACTATTCTGGGAAGTAGAGAAGAAAAACAAAAGCTTACTACTCTCAGCCTGATAGAAAGGAAAGAACAACAAAAATAATTTTTAAATAAACACGGTACTCACGATGCCTCGGCTGGTGCTGGATTTCTGATATGCCTGGAGGAGTTGGTTTCGAAGAGTCGCTTCGTAGTTGTCCTTCTTTGTAGCGGCCTGGTTTGTTTTCTCTTTTTAAGCTGCCTGTGAATGAAATCTGCACGCTAAATGTTTTCTTAGTTTTCCACCAGACTGTACAGCTTGAAACAAACGGCTCGAAATGAAGTTTTACAAGCTGCCCGTTTCCTTTTATGAGTAGAAGTTTCGTCCCCCGAGCTCTCTAGGTCCTCGACTACAACCTTCGGATTTGGGACCCTATCGGGACATTCCCGCACTTCTTCAGTGGCTGTAAAAGTAATAGCGCAGAAATTAAATATTAGGTCTAAGGTTTCAGGCAGAACAAAAACCTAATTTCGAGGTTTTTGTTCTGCCGTGGTGCAGTGGACGATAGTAGAGAAGCTTATGTGGTTTGTGAGTTTCATCCTAAAAAGAAATACTCTTCCGAACAGGAAGTTTTTGTTCAAGAAGTTTGAGGGGATTTCGCAGAGCAGCATTACGTTTTATTTTACTGTAAAAGGGACCTCAAGAAGAGGAAGGAGCTGAAGGTGATTCGTGCGCAGTGCAGTCAAGAGTACACTTGAAAAGCCTTTACTAGAAAAAGCTATTTGTTCGTCAGCCTTCCTGCGGAGCAGCAGCTTGCTACAGTACTGTCATCGGAAGAGGTTGCCAGATCGCTCACAGAATCTCCACAGAAACTTTCTGATCGTTCTGACCCAATTGTCAAGGGTGAAATTACAGATGGAGATCTGTATTGCAAACAACGAAAACAGCTTAACCTCGGCGAACTCGACATAACCGTGACTGAACTCGGACGGCAGGCCACATTTTAATTCGTCGACATTTTCGATATGTCCCGTGCTAATGACAATTAATGAGTTCATTTCACATCTTTGGTGCAAGAACCTTACTGTCTCTGTTCTTTTTCACGGGTAGCGCCATCCAGACGTGACTCTAGTGCTGCAGGCGTTTACAAAGCAGATGGACTCGCTCGCTCAGACTGGTGTGTCATGGACCTGTGATGAAGAAACTTTCCACTCAAGGTAATGTTTTTTTTTTCTTCTGATAAAACCCCTAGCGTATGTTGGTTTAAATTATGTTATCTTTAACCATAAACTTTGTTGGTTTGTTTTGGAAGTAATACTCAGTCTAAAAAAATTCTTATTTTTTCAAGTTCCATCTTTTACATAAAAAATTGGAGTTCTTTTACATTATTTTCTGCATTAGTGTATAATTTTGTAATTTATAGTTTAAGTTATCTCTGTTTCAGGCGTACCCCCTCAACTCTTCAGGTGCTGTACGGACCAGTGCTCTCATGCCGGACATGAGAGCACAATTCAATAGCTACTTTGGGTGCTGCTATTTTTTGCACCCAGGCAAGTTTGTTAAAGGTAAAAAAGGTAAGTTATAAGATACAGAGAACCCCCTTGACTAGGGTGATCGCCCGTCCCGCGACTCGCGGGACTGTCCCGCATTGATGGCTCATGTCCGGCGTCCCGCGAGAAATTCCAAATCTTGAAAATGACCCGCATTTCATACTGTAGTAAAATTTACTCTTCAACTCATCGCGCTACCGAACAACGGGGCAGGCGGAGCGCGGAAGTCGCTGGTAATCGTGTGAATCAGAGTGGTACAACATTTTTTTTCCAAGCATTAAGGAAAGCTACCGTCAATTTTGCAGGAAATCCGACGCGCATGCTCCGTTGTGCCTCCCCTTGGTGGCAAACTGTTCTAAGAAAAATTGCTCACCAAAAGTTTCGATATAACCCTTTGTTGCATAGTGGCCACTACAGTGAACAAACTTATTTATTTTTTAAATAAATTGCCAGGTGACATAACACCCGTACGCATGGTGTCCCCTTCAGTGGACACGTGTGTTTTCGACTGCCACTCATAGGTGGCGCCACAATTTCACTGGTGTTGACATGTTCAGCATCCAAGATGGCAGCTTCCACAATTCCCAGGTAAAGCACGAGCATCCTCGCAAAAGCGTCGTAAACTTTTGCGAAAACGTAGTACTCCTTTGTTAAACGTTTACATGCCTTCGAGTAAGACTGGAGGTGTAATCTTTATAAACATGAGTGTCCAATAAGTCTTCACTGTTCAATAAGTGATCTATTTGTGGCTTGTCCACTCTGGTGGACACCATAAACAGCAGCATTACGGGGTCATGAGCTATGCACAAATTGTATTTGGTCAGCAGCGCTGTAAATATACTGGAATGGTCAAATTTTTTGTGGTAATGAATAATGCGCCATAATTCTACGTATTCCAAGAAAAAAATATATTTTCTTATTTTTTGTTTTAGAGATAAATGATCTGCTACCAAATCACCTTTGAGAGATGAAGACATCGATGCTTTCTAGGATATTCCAGTGTCTGACTCAGAAATCAGAGTCCTACTTGAAGAGGGACTGCCGTCAGGAAGTGATGATGATCTTTTAAAGAGCGAGGAGGATGACATCGATTATGCCATAGAGGATGATAAAGGCAGGTGTCATGATTGCGGGGAAGATGCCAGCCAAAGTGATGACAGTGATGAAGAGGATCGCGACACGCGACCCCAGGCTCCACCACCAAAAAAAAAGACATCGAGTTAAAAAAAAAGCCAGTTATGGTCATGGGACGAAAGGAATCTTGTGCCCCAGCGCATGCTGTGTAGTGTAGTGGACGTTCTGTAATTAATAAGCTACAATTCTAAAAGCTAAGAAAAAAATCCTGGGTCTCAAATCAATACCGCACACGCCCTTCGTTCTTTCGCTGGCGCTCAAGAATGAAGGGCGTGTGCGGTATCTATCTGCTCCGATATCAGGGCAGCGCTTTATCGTCTGCTCGGGCGCGTGTGCTCGTAGCTTTCATTGTGAATGCGTCAATGTTCTTGACGCTGACTTTGACCTGCTTGTGACGAACGGTGTTAGCGCCTTCAAGTGCGATTCCTGCACTAAACATCGGAGTGAAGAGGCGTCGATAGTAAGAATCGCGTCGTCGGCTACGTCGGCTCGGGATAGCGATCGGCAACCAAGAGAGTCGCCGTCGGAAAGTTGTAGTCTTCACAAGCTGGTCCAAGAGCTCTGCTGCAAGATCGATGGTCTGTCCGAGGAGATGCGGTCCTTACGAGCTGAGAACGAATCCCTGTGAACGCAATTGGGTGCGGAAAAGTGAACTGCTTCGGAGATGCCTTGCTGCTGAAGAACCTGGCCAGGCCCAAGCTTGGCAGAGTGAGCATGCACAATCTTACTCTAAAGCGCTGCAACCCAATGCATCCTTCTGTTCGGCGACCACAAGTTGGCCCACTCCCTCCGAGGCTTCCGAGCGTCTTCTGGGGGGTGAACGTCCCCGGCGTGAGTTATCCACGAGAGGGGCGAGACATCCTCCAAATGACGAGCGGCGTCGGGGCCTACCCGACATTCGACGCAATTCAAATTGTGAAGATTTGGGCATGCCACCGATCTCGGATCAGCGAGGACACATGGTTGCTGACAGCTCCAAGAGGGCGTTCTCCCCAGTTGTGGACAAAGATGGCTTCCAACAAGTCATGCCACGCCGACGAGTCAAGGCTTCCGTCGGTTCGGCAAAAGCCAGTAAGTTGCGTGTGGTGGCCAAGCCTCCTAGGAAGAGGGCTCTTTTTGTTTCCCGATTGCATCCAGAGACCACCAGCGACGAACTATCAGAAATTGTGTCAAGTGCTCTAGGATGCCAGAGCTTCTCTTGTACTAAACTGGCAGCTAGGTATGATAAGTATGCTTCGTTTCACGTGTTAGTTAACGAGGAGGACTTCGAGAAACTTGTTTGTGCCGACTTGTGGCCCGAGGGCTGCCTTTTCCGGTCATTCTTAGGCCGACTGAGGGTTGACAACGAGCGCAGTGCTTTGAATCCCAAGCCAAAGCAAGGGGGAGATTCTGCCGCCCCTTTAGGTTCCTAAACCTAAATGCTCGAACTGTTGCCAACAAAGCGGTAGAGCTTGAAGGTGTTTTATTGGCATTTAACCCTGATGTGGAAATTATAACAGAAACTTGGCTGCACGATCAAATACCTGATAATGACGTTTTTCCTCATGGTTTCAAAGTATTCCGACGGGATCGTGGCTCAAGAGGGGGAGGGGTCGCTCTTTTGATCAAGGACACCATTCCATGCATGTCTATTGAGCACGGCCAGGACTGTGAAATGGTCTGGGCCTCTATACGTTTTGGTTGCCAATCAATGCTTGTAGGAGCAGTATATAGATGTCTTCAGGCCAGTATTGATGTAATACAGAGTTTATCTGAGTTTCTTCTAACTAAAACCAAGCAATTTTCACGTATAGTTATGGCCGGTGATTTTAATTTGCCAGATATAGATTGGAATTGCGTGATGCCCAATGGGATATGCAATCAGTCTAGGCTTCTTGTTGATATTGCTTTTAGTAATAATTTAAGTCAAGTGGTCAAGTGTCCCACACGTGTGTCAAATGATAGGGAATCCTTGCTTGATCTCGTGTTTTTATCTGAGGTCGTTACAAGAAGTATTCTTGACGTATCAATCGCGGATGGCATATCTGACCATGCAATAGTTGTATGTGACCTATCTGCACCGCAGCATGCACACAATGAAACCGAAGTAAAATCTTATCGTGATTTCAACAGGGCGAATGATATCGATATTATAGACTTCTTGGAAGTGGCTCTAGACAGATTTCTTGCGTTTTACGATGCGAACCCGGACTAAGTAGATAAGCTTTGGCTCTTTTTTAAGCAAGTCATCCTTACATATGTTGATGAGTTTATTCCAGAGCGACCGACAAAAAGGAAAAGGCACAATCCATGGGTGACGCGCGATATTTTACATTTAAAGCGAAAGATAAATCGAGTAGATAGGTTCCAACCAAGTTTAAAATTTATGCTTCCTCCTCTTCGCCAAGAGCTACGGACTCTTGTGCGCACATCTAAATATCGTTACTTTAATGTCACGATGCACAACTTTCTCGTAGAAAATCCGAGAAAGTTCTGGGCTCATTTGACAAAAAAAAAAGGGTGATGATTAAGGAGCTTATTAATCGCGGGCAGACATTTCCCGATGAAGCGAGCATAGCAAGTGAGCTTAATTATTTTTTTTCTTCTGTCTTCACCGTTGATAACTGCATGTTGCCTTCATTTAATCATGACATTTGTGGAATCAATGATTTGGTGGTTTCTACAGAAGGTATTTTTAGCAGTCTTTTGCAATTAGACACTAGAAAGTCGAGTGGCCCAGATGGAATTCCTAACGCTTTCTTACGAAGGTACGCTGAATGGTGTTCCAAGTTTCTTTACGTGATTTACTCTTGCAGTTTAAAAACTTGTGACGTGCCTCAAGATTGAAAAGTAGCCAAAGTTGTCCCTATATATAAAAGTGGAGAGAAAAAAAGTGTTTCCAATTACAGACCAGTGTCATTGTTGAGTACATGTTGCAAGGTTCTGGGACACTTCATATTTTAGCACATTGTAACTTTTCTAGAATCTGAAACTTTCTTAGTAGATTATCAACATGGGTTCCGAAGAGGCTTTTCGACAGTGACACAGCTCTTTCATACGGTCCATAATTTTGGTTCAGTGATTTATAACAATGGTCAATTCGACACTGTCGATCTTCTTAGATTTTGCGAAGGCATTCGACAGGGTTTCGCATCGCAAGTTACTGCACAAATTGAAGCAAGTGTTGGGCAATGATCGCCTACTGAGGTGGATAGACTCGTACCTTACAAATCGTAAACAGTTTGTGTGCGTAGGCAATGCTGAATCAATGGAGTTACCTGTTCTTTCTGGAGTGCCCCAGGGCTCGGTGCTCGATCGGACCATTGCTCTTTTTGGTTTTTATCAATGACCTGCGAGTTGATAAGCCCTCGGTACAGTGCCAATTTTTTTGCTGATGATTCTTTATTGTTTTCAAATACATCTTGTGTATCTAACCAAAAATGCTTAGAGGACAGTATTCAAATGATTTCATTATGGTGTCAAAAATGGCAAATGAACTTGTATGTCACAAAATGTGTGCAGATGTCAATTACACTGAAGAAGGTGCCTATCTTTTTTTCTTATTCTATTCATTCAAATGAAGTAGTTAATAAATACAAGTATCTGGGTGTTACTATCACGTCCAACTTAAGCTGGGCTAGTCATATTGAGCAGGCTGTCACAAAAGCGTCAAGTAAATTGTGGTCGCTACGTAGGAAAATGTGTCACTGTACTCCTGCGACAAAGCTGACGGCCTATAAATCGCAGATTCGTCCTTTGCTGGAATATCCTGACGTTGTATGGGACCCGCACTCGCAATCGCTTATTGACCAACTGGAAGGCCTTAAAAAAATCGCTTAGGTTTATTTACAACTCATACGGCAAAGATTCACACGTGTCACCATTGTATGCCGCCTCCGGAGTGTCTATATTATCATGTCGAAGGAAAGTAAAGCGTTAAACATTTTTGCATAACATAATTCATAATAACGCTGGTTTAAATTATGATGATTATTTGTAGTATAACGCGAGTCTCGCTACAAGGCAGAAGCACGAGAATTTGCTCCTTGAGTTCCGCTGCAGAAAAGATGTTTTTAAAAACTCATTTTTTCCTCGTTCTGTTAGTGAGTGGAATGAGTTGCCACCAACTCTGACGGTGATTGCTTCTACCGCTTTGTTTGGGAGTGCAGTTGATGAATTGTTTTTTGTCATCAATGACTAAGCTAATTGTTTATTGTTGTTTGTTCATTCCACTCATTGATGGTTTCTGATCTTTGTCTATCATGCCTTGGCCCTCAAAAGTTGGCCGGCAGTATTCTCAAATAAATACCAGTAATTGCAAAATGCAGAATTTTATGATCTGCATGAACGATTTTTTGTATGCAACAAAAGGATAAAATATTGTAATTATTTTTATATCCTCATATCCCTTTGTCAATGCGAAAGGGTTGCTGTGGATCTTTGTTTTAGTGGGCATAACCACACAAGGCAAAAGCCTGCAACTCGCAACAATCGAAAAAGAACATAATGATAAAAATTGTGTGTAGGAGAATGCTGATAAAAGTAAGCATTGACTGGAAACAATAATCCGAAGCAGATTTACTGTTTCTTATTTCCATTTGATGCATTGAGTTCTGCCACAGTCGATTTTTATGTGTTCGACTTCGACACATTTAGTGACATATTTGTCATAAATATATATATATATATATATATATATATATATATATATATATATATATATATATATATATATATATATATATATATATATATATATATATATATATATATATATATATATATATATCACTCGTAGTGAAAATAATTGAGCTCAATTGCTGCAATACAATTAGATGGTGGTTTTTGTCCTGACACGAATGGTACGATGACCCGTTTCCCTGAACCAATCTTGACGAGACAAACCGTAAGACTCCCTATTGACAACGGTCCGAGACTTGAAAGATAATTATGGTGTCATTTTCCCAGGGCCATTGATCCTGCGCCATTGATCCTGCGAGTGGGCTAAAGCGCACACCCACTTCGACGCGCGTGGAGCGAAAGCTCGCGCTGCAGGACCCAGGAATCCTGGGTTCGAGCCCCACCCGTGCCCGTTTCGATCTGGATGAGCATCGTACCGGCGTGCGGTCGTGTGTCACTACTGCGTGGTGCACGTTAAAGACCCCAGGCTAGCACTCGTACTGCACTGGCTAAATTGCTCATCTACAGCGTAAACCAGTGTCGCCGTTACTGGCAGACCGACCTTACGCTGTATAAATCACTAAAATGTCCAATTTGACTTTTGTCGGACGAGTTGCCGTGTAAGTTGCTCCCAAAAATATATGGACCAAAAGGTTAGAACGGTCGGCAATGCCCATGCAGTGTCATAAAAATAAGTACAAGACCTGCCTTTTCCCGACGTTAATAAAGGCTACGCATATTTATATAACTCATTACCTTGGTTTTGGATTCACGCGCTTCATCACACAGATATAGCAATATCTTTATATATATAAAAATGTGTTTTGCATTCGTTCCAGCACTAAAAGCGTCGTCCTACAAACTTCATCCCATGCAGGTTAGGCATATTTTAGTTCAGAGCGTCTTAAATAGAGGTAAAAAGTTACGAAAGTTTGCGGATTATAAAATTATTTCGTCATTCGACACACCAAACCCAGCGTTCGCAGAGCGCAGTTAGTGATGCCTGCTATATGGCCGTCAAATTGTAAAGATGAGTCAAAGAGCACTCCCAAATACCCCACACCGTTCGTACAACACAGTACATTTGAGTTACAATACGCAAAATATATGAAATTTGTTTTGCGGCTATACGAGATGACTTTTGCTTTGGTACTGTTTAAAAGGAGACCATTGAGCGAACACCATTTCCTAAATGAGTTTATATCTGCTTGTAGCAACTCACAACCTGAAGTGTTTTCAAAGCGTCTGAATACCTTATTGTCATCTGCGTACCGCAGACACGAAGAGTTCGCTACATGTTTTTATGTACACATCGTTAACGATGACAGAAAAGAGAAGATGGCCTAAAACCGACCCCTCAGGTACTCCGGACGTGGCTCTGTACTACGGATAAAAGGCAGCATTGGTGCGGACAGCACATGTTCTATTTGACTAAGTCTGAAACTAATGTCAGCAAGTTTCGATATTCGTAAGGGATGATCAACCACATCAAAAGCCTTACTCAGGTCGAAGTAAACGACGTCAAGAAAGCTTTGGATGCCACAGCCATAAATTAAATCAGATTTGTTATTGTCGAGCGTCCATAGGCAAATCGGTGTTGGTTCGAAATGATTTCATTTTTTTAAACGAGAAGACTATGTTTTCTTTACACTTCAGACATTTCCATAAAGTTTAGAAAAGGTGTAAAGAAGAAAAACCGGCCTGTAGTTGGCTACATCTCCAGGACCGCCAGATTTGTGCACAGGGAAAACGACTGGACTCCTCCAAACATCCGGAAAATCGTCTGACCTTAAGGAGTTTTTGAAAATAGCAGGAAGGATAAATGTAGACACTTCGTGGAAGGCTTTCACTAGCGCTGCTCGTATCCCGTCATGGTCCGAAAACATTATTGGCTGTAGTTCTTTTTTTATGCATTTAGGAGGAATACGCTTATGCGGAGGCAGCAAACAAATGTGCCACCTCACGTCAGAGGTTGATGGCGGCAGGTGACCATCAATATTGTCCTCCTAAACTGAACTAAAGTGGCATGCGAAGATGTCGCTTACGTCGGTCCTAGCTTTACCCTCGTCATCAAACAAATGAAGGTCAGAGTGCGCCAGTGATCCACCACGAGAGCGAACATGTTCAAGTAGTTTTTTTTGGTGTGCAGCTCTTAGGCGCCTATTTCCGACTTGAGCGGCGCCGCCGTCGGCGTCCCCGTTGGCGTAACCTCGTGTTGCATTATGGGACGTTTCCTAAGTTGACGTCACACGCGCGTTGCATTTTGTGTAAATTTCACCGCTAAATTTAGCGGGAAATTTAACAAAAATTTGCCGCTAGATGGGAGGGGAGCGAGAGAGGAGGAGGGGAGGAGACGGATGAGGAGGAGGACATACCCTCCTTTCTGTACCTTCCCCTCGTCCTCCCCAAGAGATGCGCTCTGATTCGGCGTTACAGGGGATTGTAAACATCTTCCATTTTTGGGGTTCGGGCTTAAATCCGCCCACACTGATTCCAGATATATCTTATAGTCAATCATCTGCTGCTGTTTAAAGA